ACCAGCGACAGCAGAACACACCGTCAAAAAGACACCAGAAGGACAAGGGCGCCCGCCAGATCTCTGGCGGAGGCAGTGGAGAGAGGAGTGAGATTCTCACGGAGGACCAAAGGCGGTGCAGGTGCGAGAATCCAGAATGTTTGTGATATGGCGCCGCCTACTGGACGCCAGAAGAAAAGCCTCTAATTACCAACCTGAATGCTGCTGCTGTTGAGTGGCTAAGTCCTGTCTGACTCTTTGAGACCTCATGGACTGTAGCCCACCGGCCTCTTCTGTCCATGGAATTTCCCAGCAAAAATACTGGAGTAGGTCGCCTTCTCCAGGGGATCTTCATTTCCTTCTCCAGGGGATCTTCCCGACTCAGGGATTGAACCCATGTCTCCTGCGTTGGCAGGCAGATTCTTTACCACTGAGCCACTTAGGGAAGCCCTATTGAATTCTTAGAATCAAGTAAAAAAAAAAAAAAAAGCTTTACCTAAATAAGAAAAATATTGGCTACTTCAAGTGAGCCAATGGAGGAACAAGTCACCAAGCACCATGAAGAATCACAATAACACATGGTATTACAAAAAGAAGATGACCATTCTCCAGAAAGCAAGGTCTTGGATACTGGGATCTAACTGATGGAGAATCCAAAATAGTTGTCATGAGGACATTCAATAAGCTACAAGAAAACTCAGAAAGGTAGTTAAATGAGCTCAGGAACAAAGTTAATGAACAGAAGGAATATTTTGCCAAATAAATTGAAATTCTAAAAAAGAATCAAAGCAAAATCCTAGGGTTGAAGAACTCAGCAAATGAGATGAAGAATGTATTAGAAACCTATGAAAATAGAGCAAACCATATGGAAGAGAGAATTAGTGAGCTTGAAGACAGAAATCTAGAAATGATTCAGGTAGAAGATGAGATGCTAAGATAAAAAAGAGAGAGAGAGAGATCCTATGAGAGCTATTCCACCCCATCAGAAGGGCAGCATAAGGATAGTGGGTTTCCCAGAAGGAGAAAACAGGGGGGTGGGTGGGGTACAGAGTCGTTTACAGAAGTAAGAGCTGAGAACAACCCAAACCTGGGGGAGGAACTAGATATACATATTCACGAGGCTAAGAGAACACCTGGTTACCTCTAGGCAAAAAGACCTTTTCCCAGACACATACTAAACCTATCCGAAGTCAATGACAAAGAAAGAATTTTAAAGGCAGTCAGGAAAAAGAAAAAGACAAAAACCTACAAAGGAACCCCATTAGGCTAAAAGAAGATTTCTCAGCAGAATATCTGCAGTCCAGGAGAGGGTAGAGAGACAGACACAAAATACTGAGAGATAAAAGCTGTCAGCCAAGAATATCCATCTGACAAAGTCATCCTTCAGATATGCGGGAGAAATAAAGTCTTCTCCAGACAAACAAAAACTGAGGGAGTTCATCACAGCTAGTCCTGCCTTATGAGAAATGTGGAAAGGAGATCTTCTACCTGAAACAAAAAGGCAAAAGTACACAAACTCTGAGTAAGGTGATAAATAAATAGACAAAATCAGAAAATTGCAACTTTATAGCAGAATAGGTTGTTAAACAATTAAAGCATAAAGGTTAAAGGGAAAAAATAGCCACTTCAATTTGGCAATAAGCTCGCAACAAAAATAGGGGTAACTTGAGAAAATAGAAACATGAAAGTGGAAAAGGAGGACAGAACCCAGGTAGGCAAATGAAGAAAAAATGACATTAGTAGAAAAAGGATGGTATTTTACTTCTGAGACATTTAACACAAACCTCATGGTAATCACAAAATACAAATCTAGAGCAGAGACCCAAAACATTAAAATAAAAAAAAAAAAAAGGAAAACCTAGAGAAACATCATAAAAAACCATCAAATTAAAATGACAGACAGAAACACAGGAAAAAGAAACAATGGAGATATAGATCAGCCAGAAAACAATAGAGCAGCACTAATTCTTCACCCTAAGTATAAATGGATTGAATTCACCATTCAAAAGACAGAGTGGCCAGATGGATTAAAAAACAATATGCTGCCTCCAGGAGACCCATCTCAACTCTAAAGACAAACATAAACTCAAAGAGAAGGGATGGAAGATGATTCTTGAAGCAAATGGAAGCCAAAAGAAAGTGGATGTAGCCACATCCATATCAGCCAAAAAGGGTAACCAGACACATAGTACTAGACATTATGTAGTGGTAAAGACGACAGTACAGGAAGGTGATAGAACAGCTCTTCATATCTATGCAGCTAACATATATGCACCAAAATATATAAATCCTTTATTAACGTACCTAAAGGGTGACCTTTAACACTCCAGTTACATTGATGGATAGATCACCCAGACAGAAAGTCAACAAGGAAATACTGACATTAATGAAACATTCAATCAGACTGGCTGAATGGATTTATTGCAATATTGCAACAAAATGCAGCAGAATACATATTCTTCTCAAGTGCTTGTGGAACTTTCTTAAGGGTAGACCATATGTTGGGACACAAAAAAAGTCTCAATACATTTTAGAAATTAAAAATCACATCAAGCATCTTTTCTGACCACAATGGTATGAAACTAGAAATCAACTACTGGAAGAAAACTGGAAAAATCACAAGTATGTGAAGATTAAACAACATGCCACTAAACAACTATTGGGTCATTGAAGAAAACAAAGGGTCATTGGGTCATTGAAGAAAAAAAAAAAAACCTGAAGATAAATTAAAATAGGACAAACAAAAATCTATGAGATACAGCAAAAGTGGTGCTAAAAGGTATAATTATAGAATTCCAGGCTTATCTCAATAAACAAGAAAAGTCACAAATAAACAATCTAATCTTATAGCTAAAGAAACTAGACCAAAGAACAAACAAAGTCCCAAGTCAATAGAAGAAGGAAAATAATAAAGACTGCAATGGAAGTAAATGAAAGATTAAAGAGACAACAGAAAAGATCAATGAAACTAAAAGCTGGTTCTTTGAAAAGATAAACAAAATGTACAAATCTTTAACTAGACTCACTAAGGAAAAAAGATGAGGATCAGATAAATAAAATCAGAAACAGGAGAAATTACCAAAATACCACAGAAATACAAATGATTAAAAAAAGAATACTTTGAACAACTATACATCAATTAGACAACCTAGAAGAAATGAACACATTTTTAGGCTCATACAACCTTCCAAAAACTGAATTATGAAGAAAATAAATATGAATAGATTAGTCATTAATAAAGAAATTGACAGCCATCAAAAACCTCCAAAAAACAAACAAACAAACAAAAGAAATCCCACAAACAGACATCTTCAGTGGCTAGTTTTACCAAACATTCAAAGAAGATTTAACATCATTCCTTCTCAAACTTTTCCAGAAAATTGAAGAGGAGAGAACACTTCATAACTCATTTTATGAGACCAACATTACCTTGATAGAGATGTTTATCTAGTTTATTTTAAATCTAATTCAGTTTTTACTTGCAAAAAATTTATTGTTCCTCCATCACCACCCTATTTCTTATATTTTTAACTATACCAAGTTGTTTAGATACTTGTTGCTCCACTAGAGTAAGAACCATATCTTACACATGTTCTATATTGAAACATTACTTATTCCAGTATTCTATATGTATGTAATACACGTATAATGTTTGTTGATTAAAAGATAAATATATGATGACTCTAAATAAGTGGGAGAAAATCTGAGGCCAGAAGAATCTGTTCTCCCATTTCAACAGATCATACCCAGGCCAGGATTCAATATCAGAAAGTGATGATTGAAAGAGTACTTTGGTTTTCACATGGAGCTCCAGGAATCCCTGTGAAATCAGGGCTCTCGTCTTGCTGAGGGTTGCCTTGGAAAAGGGGAAGGACATTGATTTGTGGTCTAAGGCAATTTGATTCCCTGACTGTTGTTCAACTGTGGGCTTCCCTGGTGGCTCAGAGAGTAAAGATTCTGCCTGCACTTCAGGAAACCCAGGTTCAATCCCTGGGATGGGAAGATCCCCTGGAGAAGGAAATCACAACACACTCTGGTATTCTTGCCCAGAGAATCCCATGGACAGAGGAGCCTGGTGGGCTATAGTCCATAGGATTGCAAACAGTCAGACATGACTGGGTGGTTGTTTAACTAGAGAAACAATTTTACAACTTGCAAGTGAGATTCTATTAGAACAAATAGTTTAATAATCTTTTTTTTTTAAAAAAAATAGGATAAATAAGTAAAAATGCTAAAAACTGCAATCTGATGAAAAGTGCTCTATTTTTTTAATCCTTAAACCAAGACCCAGAGAAATTAGGTGATTCCAGAAAAATTACCCAGTTGGTAAGAGAGAGGGGCTACAGATGCCCTATTCGTAGCACATTGTTATTTCTGCCTGATTTCCTGTTCAGTTCAGTCACTCAGTCATGTCCGACTCTTTGCGACCCCACTGATCGCAGCACACCAGGCTTCCCTGTTCATCACCAACTCCCAGAGCTTGCTCAAACTCATGTCCATTGAATCAGTGAGGCCATCCAACCATCTCATCCTCTGTTGTCCCCTTCTCCTCCTGCCTTCAATCTTTCCCATCATCAGGGTCTTTTCCAATGAGTCAGTTCTTCGAATCAGGTGGCCATAGTATCGGAGCTCCAGCTTCAGCATCAGTAGGTTCAACGAATATTCAGGACTGTACCAACTGCTATATGACCTCTGGACCACCACTGTCTACCTCTACACTTACCGAAAGGCCACAGGCTATACCAGCTGAATCAGCACTTTAGGTCTACAGAATGTGGCCTATGCCTTTTAGACTCCATCCTCATCCACTCTGACCCTTAACTTGTTTGCTGGAGAAAGTTAGTCCTGAGTAAGGATCAGAGAGCTGTCTGACCCCAATCCCCAAATCTGAGTCCATCTGGAGTCAACTCTGAATTTTACTGTGATGGAATCTTCAAGCCAGAGAGCTCCACCCTGCCCAAAAGCCTGTGAATAAATTAGAATTCTTGCTTATGACGGAACCATTTAGAAGCACACCTCACAAAGAACTCCTGGCTTTACAGGAAAGATGCTGAACATCCATTAGAAAATTAGCCACAGGTAGGTTGGCAGGAATTGCAGGCCTTCTCCACTGAGACTTTATTCTTTGTTGTGTCTGGACCAGCAGATTCATCCCCCCTGCCCCCCACCTCTTCTTTCAGCCCATAAGTACTGGTCAATGATCAGTTTTCTCTCTTGGCAATTGACATAATAAATGTAGGCAGGATGTTTACATTCCCTATTATGTGTTTTTAAATCTCTTTGGCAAAAGAACTGTAAGTGCAAAGCAATAGTATGGCTCAGAGGCAGGGGGCCATAATTAAAATCGCTTTTTGTTTTTTAAATGGCTTATTAAAACGCTTGCAAAACCTGGGAACACAAAGCAGCAGCCAAAATCCCTCTGCTGCTAAATGGAATGAAATGGATTTTTCAAATGTCATGCTAGTATCCACTTAATAATACATTTTCCTATAGACAGGACAATAATATATATTTTAATCACTTTTCTACAGGCAAATAGACTGCACTGGAGCTGCCCTTCACTGGCACTTGGAAATTATGAATTTTTCAATAACCTTTTCTATTATTCATCCTGTGTTATTCCGTAACATTTCTGCATGAGGAATGTGCTTCCCAGACACTTTCTGAAGCTTTTCTATTATTTATTAAACAGCAAGGTGTCTCCCCACAACCCTCATCCCAGCCCCCTAGAGGAAGCTGCCTTGGGAGAGTTTCCACATGGACAACTACACCCCAGGTCATTAACAATCTCAAATCTGTAAAAGATGCAGGTTTTAAGGTTACCTCTGTATATTTCAACTCTGACCACCAGAGGTGTGCTGACTCCAAGAAGTGATGTGTACTGTTTGGGAGAAGGCAAGGAAGATAATCGATCTGAGACAGTCACTTTTATAGCAGTTGGGCTATATGTTCAGTTACTGTTGTTGTTGTTGTTGAGTAGCCAAGTCATGTCCGATTCTTTGCGATCCCATGGACAGCAGCATACCAGGCTTCCTTGTCCCTCACCATCTCCCAGAGTTTGCTGAAGTTCATGTCCATTGAGTTGGTGATGCCATTGAACCATCTCATCCTCTGCCTCTCCCTTCTCCTCCTGCCTTCAATCTTTCCCAAGATCAAGGTCTTTTCTAATGAGTCAGCTCTTCACATCAGGTGGCCAAAGTACTGGAGATTCAGCTTCAGCATCAGTCCTTCCAAAGCGTATTCAGGGTTGATTTCCTTTAGGATTGACTGGTTACTGTTCATGGGGTTCTCAAGGCAAAAATATTGAAGTGGTTTTCCATTCCCTTCTCCAGTGGACCATGTTTTGTCAGACTGCTCCATTATGACTGTCCATCTTGGGTGGCCCTACACAGCATGGCTCATAGTTTCATTGGCTTAGACAAGGCTGTGGTCTCTGTGATCAATTTGATTAGCTTTCTGTGATTGTGGTTGTCATTCTGTCTGCCCTCTGAAGGATAAAGATAAGAGGCTTAAGGAAACTTCCTGTTGGGAGAGACTGGCTGTGGGGGAGACTGGCTGTGGGGGAAACTGGGTCTTGGTCTGATGGGTGGGCCATACTCAGTAAATCATTAAACCAATATTCTGTTGATGGGTGGGGCTATGTTTCCTCCCTGTTGTTTGATCTGAGACCAAACTATGGTGGAGGTAATGAACACAATGGTGACTTCCTTCAGAAGGTCCCATGAGCACAGAACCCCATAAACAGTATGAAAAGGCAAAAAGATATGATACTGAAAGATGAACTCCCCAGGTAGGTAGATGCCTAATATGCTACTGAAGAAGAGTGGAAAAGTAACCCCAGAAAGAATGAAGAGATAGAACCAAAGAAAAAACAATGCCCAGTTGTGGAGACTGGTGATGGAGTAAAGTCTGATGCTGTAAAGAGCAATATTGCATAGGAACCTGGAATGTTAGGTCCATGAATCAAGGTAAATTACAAGTGGTCAAACAGGAGATGGCAAGAGTGAACACTGACATTTTAGGAACCAGTGAACTAATATGTACTGGAATGGGTGAATTTAACTCAGATGACCATTATATCTACTACTGTGGGCAAGAATCACTTAGAAGAAATGAAGTACCGCTCATAGTCAACCAGAGTCCAGAATGCAGTACTTCAATGCAATCTCAAAAATGAAAGAATGATCTCTGTTCATTTCCAAGGAAAGCCATTCAATATTACAGTAATCCAAGCCTATGTCCCAACCAGTAATACTGAAGAAGCTGAAGTTGAATGGTTCTATGAAGACCTACAAGACCTTCTAGAAGTAACACCCCAAAAAGATGTCCTTTTCATCATAGGGGACTGGAATGCAAAAGTAGGAAGTCAAGAAACACCTGGAGTGATAGGCAAATTTGGCCTTGGAGTACAGAATGAAGCAGGACAAGGGCTAATAGAGTTTTGCCAACAGAACGCACTGGTCATAGCAAACACCCTCTTCCAACA